TCAGATGGCACCACCTTAACCAACACTGCTGCCACTTCTCATGTAATTATGCTTCCTTTTTTCCTCCTCCATTTTGTTCAAACAGGTTGTCAAAGGGGAAAAGAATTCAAAATTGTCTGTTATCCTGTTACACAGACAAGTGTTCCGTTAGTAGTTTTCTGTGTTCGCAGTCTGACAGTATGTTTTGCAACAGTTGTTTAAAAAAATCATTGGCATAGCGGATTTGGTAATAGGAAAATGATGCTAAGTTGTTGCACAGTTGTATGATCGGCTAAGGTGTATCAAACACTGCTTAAAATAAATGAAAATAAATTCAATAAATATCTGTTCCAAATGCGTTAAAAGCAAGCGGTCTGTCGAGTTTGACAAGATCTGTTTAAAATATTGTTAGCAACGTACAGGTTTCTGGAGTTTGTAGCATCTGGGCTACTACCATTTTTGGTTTATACTGAGGTACGGATTTCAATAATATAACTTGCAAATTCATAGTAAATGTTGGCAATATTTAACGCAGTTTTTTCCCCAGCCGTGACCACTGACTGCCAAAACTGTTTTTCTCTCCTCTAACTAACCTTTTCCTCTCCTAAGCACAGTTTCTTACAGGAGTGAACTTCATAAATAATCTTGTAGTAGCCAAGTGTCCTGTTACTTTTCTCTTGGTTAAGTCAAGGAAAGAAACAGCATGCAATTAGACATTTTATATGTACATTCAGTTTTCTGTACCTTAGTACACTCATATATGGGTAGAAAGAAGGTATGGAATTTGGGTTAAATCCAGATCACTTCTGATTTCTTTTGAGATTATCTGTGTGATTAAAAAGAGTCAGAACAAAGCCTTCATTTAAATTGAGCAATTCATTGCTGAATTACAAAACAGAGAGATGTTCTGAGACCAAAGTTTCACTGGGTCACAACAGTGTTCAAACTTTGTACAAATACTTCAGCATGCTTTTCAAGTCTGAAAAGAACGAACAGTGTACACATTTCTAAAGTTTCGTGTATATTTTGTAAGAAGTATTTTGAGCCCAAACTTGCATATAGTCACCTGGAAAATCAACGATCTGTTGTCAGTGCTCTGGAGGCTGTTAAAAAAATACTCATAACAGGCACGCAAAAGCTGTCATTCCTAACTCTTGTAACAGAGCTCTGAAACCTTTTTTTTTTTTAAATAAAGAATCAGTACTGTGAATCTGCATACAGCCCAATAGTTGTAACCAAAGATACCATAATCAATATAGACTGGTATGTGTAAATAAAGCACAATCACTACATGACCATTTACTAGCTATGGAAAGCATGGAACATTTATATTTTTCTTCTAACCTACTTCTAAAATAATCAGCTAACTGTATTTGTTTTCTTTGAGCACCATTTTTGTAAGCTAAAGTCAACATTCCTTCCTTCTTTCCTTTTTTGGGTAGTCTCCCTGTAGAAGGATATGTTATGGTCAGGTCTGACCACCACTTTCTCTCTTAGACATGGCAGGGATGAGCATAACAGTTGTTCACCATTAATGGACAAAGAGAAAGGATGAGTCTCCCACCATAGGGCAAAAACCCCCAAACAGTCTTAAGAGCCCCATAGAAATTAAACTGCTGACAAGACCCACCTCTGCAGCATAGAAAAGTCTGCCTCTCCCGTCCTCTGTAGAGGAGGGCCAGATGACTATAAATGTATCCATGAAATGAGAAAATGATGGGGAAGCTGGTGGCACACACACGTGTGCTGCTAGTGGCTCTACTCCTGTAATGATCTTCATTCTCAAAGGAGACCCCTGTTGGTTTTGTGAATGAAAACTGCTGAGAGGACAATAAAAGTAATATAAGACTGTGCCATCCAGCATTGTGCCCGCATAACATGGAACCACATTTTCAAAGACATTATGTCCTCATTGGGGATGTTTGTTTATTCTTGAGGTCCTTGATGAGAGCTTAGGCAAAAAGGTTTTACAGGGGATCTTCTGAGAAGAAGAAACAGCATCAGGAAGAGCAGAATCAACAAAATGGTAAAATATTTCAGGCAAAAGGCAGAGCTAAACATAAAACTGTGGTTATTTGGCCATACTTTTAGTCAGATTATAGCTTCTTTGAAAACCTGAAGTATGAGAATTGTAATTCTTATTTGGGCTTATGCTTAGAACTGGAGTTAAAATCGGGGAACAGCTGGTTTTGGAAACTATTTTTTCTGATTGTATTCCAATTACGAACATTTCCCTTATAAAGTAATTTTCATGGGTTCTTTTTATTTACGTAGTTTAAAATTGTGGATTCTAATGGAAACTTGGAAATGGAAGTACACATTAGATTTTGCCTTTTCCCAAGTTCCGGGACTGTCTCGAGCTTCAAGAATTGATCCTGAGTATTTCAGCCTAGTTCAATGTCTTGAGGCCAGGGGTGTGCTGTGCAGCATTGTTGCACAAAACTGCTCAGACATCCGTGATGGGACCTCTTTCCCAAACAGCAGAGAGGAAGTTAGAAAGCAGCTCCAATCGCAAATTGATACTTTTCTCTGCTCTGATTCAGAAGTCCAGAGAGCTGCTCTTTCCGATGCTCAGGCAAATTAAAGGAAGTTTAAACCTGGTACCTAGGAGGAATCTTTACAAGAGTTTGATTACCTAGCAGCAGAAGCAGGTGGCTCTGCTAGCAGTGGAGCACAGGTAGAGTATAGTGGAGAAAAAATAAATGGAGGAGCCTAGGAAAACGAACAGAATGAAAGAGATGAGGATTATCTTCCCAGTAAGCTGGGAAATAGGTGCATTTTGGTGAAAGAGTTGTTTTCTGTATCATCTTATTTTCCCACAAAGGAGATTACCTAGGAAAGTAAAAGGTCTAATTCACGAATAGGCATCTTAAAATTTTCACTTCCTTCTAAAATCTGGGAACAAACTCTGTCACCTGGAACTAAACCACATTCTCAGATTGAAATGTCAATAGCTCCCAAATGATTCCAAGGGCAGGAAAAGGCCCTTGGAACTTGAAACTTCGCAAAACTATCTTGTATAGCTAACCCTCTCACCAGTGCAAGATGCATCAGGTAAACACATGCAGTAGCCACCTTCACGGAAACTTTCCTCAAAGAAGAAGTCATTAGGAACTAAGAAATTGTGGCTGAGCTGATACCTTCTCTAAAACCTTTAGAAGCAAACCCAAAAATGTCATGTATGGATGTGCCACATATACATTTATGGCTGATGTCCGTAAGCTACTTGTGTGGATCCTGTTTTCACAATATTGTGTCCTACTTAGTGTAAGAGCCTTACTGTCTAACCCAGCTATTTGGTAAGGCCCATCACAGGAATATCTTAATTTTTTATTACAGAAATTCATAGGAGTAGCTTTCCAGTCTACAAAGAACTCGCCCTAGTTCTGCTCCTCTCTTCAGAGGAACAAAAGCCATAGTCAATGAGTAAGAAGGTGTAAGGTTCTGGACATGGTTGCACCCTGCCTTCCCTAGAAACAAGCTTTCCCAAAAAGACAATATGCGGGAAAACAGAATGGATGAACCCCTGAAGTAGGGTAGAGATGGCTGGCCTCATCTAGGAACCTCATCTGAAAACATGGCTTCATACCTCTTGAAATGCTATCTTGGAGCTCATGTAGCTTTTATATTCTTACATCTCCAAGTTCTGTTGGAGGGGAGAATGGTGTGAGAAAAGCAACTTAGTTTACATTTTGGTTCTTGACTTTATGAAGAGAGAAAACATTTAAACATAAAAGTTTTAATGGAGACGTCACCACAACACAAACTTTTCAGCTCAGTTCTGAAAACAGGCATCCTTAAAATGAGAAACCCCTGAATGCATCCAGGAGGAGTTCACATGATGTCTGCATAGGAGCCAGAATTTGTTTTGCTCTCTTAGCTATTGGAGGCCCAGACGTTAAAAATTTCAAATCAAATCAGTAATCTCCAAAATACAAATGTATGCAAGAGGTCATGAACCATTTCATTTTTAAATGTAAAAATAATATGCCTCTTAACAAATTTTTTATTTATGCTTTGCTGCTTCAAATAGTCTCGTATACAGCATGTTTTAGATCTTCTCTTTTGTTATATAAAATTGAGCAAAGTTTGTAGCACTTCTGATTTTGTTCAGATTTAGAGTTCTGCATTAAAAGAGATGATACAGAGAGCTTCCCTCCCTTTTCTACTGAAATATTCACTACCCTCTCATTTCATTCAATGCTTTCTCAATATCTCTGTTTTGATCCTTGCAATACTCGCCATAAAAGTGCTACAGCCAGATGTGGGGATTCGAAATCTGGGGGCAGGGAAGCAGATTGTTTCAGAAGTACCTCGTGGGACTAAAGCCTAGATGGCTTGCGATGCTGCTGTACTGCCAGTTTGCTTAGCTCTCCCATTTTATTTATTTGATTTTGTTTTGTTGTTTTATGGTTATGGTTTTTTTTAATTGGTGCTATTTATTTTTATTGTGATAGATTACATATCGGCATCCCATAGTCACTCTAGCTGGCTTCCATTTTTTAAAGAAGCTTTGGCTCACCCTCTTTAGCTAGTCTTAGTGAGACTTTTCCCTTTGGTCTGCACAGAAGTTCCCATTAATACCAACAGGGCTTGAGCATGTGCATTAAAGGAATATGTCTCTTGGAGTGAGTGATCTGTGGCAGGCAGCCTTTTTCACACAGTGAGAGGAACTTTTACTGCCATGTTCATTTTATATTGCTGTCAGACCTCTGCAGACCTTGTTTGTGCCATCTTCATTGCCTTGACCATGGTCTTCCTGTCACCTTCCCATGACTTCAGCATGCTTCACAGACAGCACATACAAGGAGAGAAGGGGGGAGGTACAAGGTATATAAGGAACACATTCTGCTCCCCTTGTGATGAGTTTTGTATTTCAGTGAATGCAGATGCCATTATGGCTAGGTACCTGACAACTGGTAATTGTTGTGTGGATGACAGTCTTGCATCATTCTTTGTTTGGGATGGCAGTCGGAGGGCTTTGTGTGTAGTTTAATGGGATATTGTTTTGTTTCCCTCAGGCTCAGATCGCAGTGAATGGGAACTCTGGCACTGCTGCCAGCCCAGTGAGTCACTTTCAGAGGCCTTTTTCCCCTTCTTCAGCTTACCCTCCACCAGCTTCCCTCAATTCCAACATTGTTATCATGCAGCATGGCAGGATGATGGGTAAGCCTCACACAGAATGTTTGCTTTATACATTACGCAACATATTCCAATTCATGTGGCAAAGATTGCAAGCAACTGCAGAGTGCTTCACATCCATAATGAAGGTATTGTCTATTCATCTACCTTGGGAAGTAAATGCAAAAAAATAATAGCAGTTGTTGTTAGATACAGAAATGAGTCTGAACTGGAGTTACTATTAAGTTCTATTACTTACGTGTGTGAGAGTGACCTCTTGCCACCTGTCTACTAGCTTTACTGAGGAAAGAGCGTATATCAGAATAACTCAGCCTGTGCAGCCCCTTCAGGTTTTGCCTTCTTTAAGAAACCAAGGGCCAACTTTGTACATTGGTTCGCCCCACAACTTTTGTAATCTTCAGTAGAAATACTGCCAACAAAGGATGGGGCTCTGGGCTTTTAAACACCTAAAGCCATGTCAGTCTGTAATTTGTTTATGGTTTTTTTGTAGGGCATTGTTAATTTTTGTTTTAAAAATACATGATCAGCCTTAGAAAGAAGCTTTGCCAGTATAATCCAGTTTTGCCAGAACAATCATTTGTTTGCTGCTTTTTCTACCAGTGTTTTGCATATTCAGATAAGACTATACATGCAAAATAATTTGAATGTGATCTTGGAGTTGTGCATGTGGGGAAATCAGGTGACAGTTCTCGCTCTGAGACCTGCTGCTTAGACAAATGCTGCTATTCCTATCATAGTGATAAGTACAAAAACTCTATATGTGGGTTTCTCCACATCCCAGAATTCTAGATTCTTTGTTTGCTTCCGGTTTGCTAATCTAAAGGCCTATTCTGTTTTGGATATACCTCAAATAAATAAAGTGTTTTACCATTACTTTTACTCTTGTATGATGCTAAAGTTCTGTATTCCATAATAACAACCTGATTTAATTCTCCTTGCTCATGTAAAAATCCCACTGATGGCCTCAGTTTGAGGGTTATGAAGAATGAAGGATCAAATCCAAAATGTTTTCTAAATTTAACATCATGCATTTTGGGAGAAAGGCCCAAATATTCAGACGTTTGCCATGCAGAGTTGCCCCTCGCCATATATGTGTAGCACTGGATTATTTACAGGATTTCAAACTTGAGTAAATAGCTGAAGCAGCCATGCCAAATCCAGCTCTCTGCAGTAGGAGTGAGCAGAAATATTCAAATTAAAATTAGAGCTTTCAGTCACCAGAGCTCCTTTTGCTGATTTATTTTATGATTCAAATATTTTGCTTCAGAAGAATCAACGGATGTTAATGTCACAGGAAAGGCAATTGTAATCTTCACCAGTAGTGTTAGAATATTTATTTTTACTCCCTACATTCATTTATCCTGCTGTGGAAATGTCTCACAAGCACTGTACCTGTTCTTACAAAAAAAGATGCTTTGTTATAGCAGACCACTAATTTACTGAAACATAATTTACTGAAACTGCTGCCTGAAGGAGTAAGGCTCTTTTTCCTGCATGCAAGAGACAAATACATCATCTGCAGCAGTACAAATTTTCGTGTGACATATCCCAGCAGTGAGGTGTTTTTTGTTAAATAAATTGCTCTGAATTTTAGAGGGAAACGGTAATAGTGACATACTAATTTCATTAATTATAAAGGAAGATTTGGGGGAGAGAGGTAGAAGTATTGCAAGTCACCACAAACCAGTAACAGCCTGCACAGTTCACCTGAAGTATTGTAGGTGGATCATTAGATTGCTCTACAGATGCCAAGTTACTGAGGTCCATTTTTATGGATTATATATAGAGGCACTTGAACATGCCAACGTAACTTTAAGGGGCAAAAATTATACATCAGAATTTGTTTTTTAAAAATATTCATGCATCAAAACTTAATGTTTCTAAACACATATCACATAAAGTCTTTGTGGAGAGATGCTTGGAATCTGTTGCTGTGCTTACAGAACGGCAATTTTCTATATTTTGCTAGATTTTGTCGGGGGGAGTAGTTTTGAAATTATATCACTAGTTTCAGAGAATGGATAGGAAAGGTGCAAGAGTTTGATTTGTAGGAAGAAGGCTGCTGTCATTATTTCTCAATAGATTTTGCTGGGTTTGTGGATTTTTTTCTTTTTTTTTTTTTGTAAGCAAGATGCTGCAAAAGTACCTCTAATCTAAGAAGATCTGAGTTGAATAGCCCGTCTAGTTCTTAAATAAGTTTATAATTCTGTTAATGTAACATTAAGTAGGGTAAAGCCCCAGCTAAGAGGATTTTCTTTAAGTGTTGTATATGTATGTGGTTAAGATTGTTGTCAGTCTTTGTACAGCATACTGAAATGGAGAAGCGTGTTATAACTGCCAAGTATGATTATTGTGTCGTTATACAATATTCTGTCATATTATCTTTACAGAGTCCACAGAGACATACTCACAGCATGTTCAGACTGTTGGCAGCAGCACCACCACCAGTACAATACCAATCTGTAGATCCTCAGAAGAAGAAAAAAAAATTACAGTCATTAAAGCTCCACATTATGCAGGGATTGGCCCGGTAGATGAATCTGGAATCCCTACAGCAATTAGAACGGTAGGAAATTCTGGGGAATCTGTGTGTGAACTCATACAATGAATTGATTGTTGGTAATGGGTTTTTCACATTCTTCTAGTCTTATATAATGTGGAATACAGCGTGTGTAATCAGCGAGCTCATGAATATAATATTGTGTGTTGACGGAAAAGGAGAATGCTGGTGGGAGCATAATTGGGCAACCTCATGTTTCTAGTTTTAATTAGAAGTAGCCAAAATTTTGTGTCTCTTTCCTGCTTCTCTTGTAGTTCTTGCCTTTTCGAGATATGCAGTAATTGTGTTTGTCTTGTCATTTCTAAAATAAAGTTTATACATACTATATATATGCATTCATGCAAGTATACATATATGCATATGTGTGTGTGTATATATATATAAAAATCTCACCCTTCTGCATTTTTGGGGGACGGTGGTTCTCCTGTCATCAGGGTACCGTAGAAATGAATAGTTTTGTTCTGATAATGAGCTAAGCGACCGGTATTTTTGTGGAAGTGCAATATAGAATCATTGTGCCCTTGAGTGACACGTAAACGAACAGCGTGGAAACCCTTTCATTGTGACTAGCCCAGTTTTGATCATCTGCCACTCGTCACTGCTTGAGTGGTCCCAGGATGTCGAACTGAAGAGTTTTGTTTTCACTATGCTGAAGCATTCTTTCCACTCTGCTGTCAGGGCAGCCTCTTCTGGCTGGTCCAGAGAGCACAGTGGCAGCTGCACTAGGTCTGTAAAGGAAGCGCTTACTGGCCTTCCCAGCCGGAGAAGAAGTGCTGTGCTAGTCGGAGAAAGAGTAAGAAGAGTGGGAGCCAGGATGAAAGCGGCAGAGCCCTTGCAGGTGAAGTCTTTGTGAGGTGCAAGGATGTAGCAGCTGTTGGATGTATGCGCTCTGCCAGTACTGACATATGGGGCTGTGTTGTAATTGCCAAGAACTGCTTCAATGGATTGAAAAATAAGGGGGAAAATCAGGAACTGATGGAGAAAAACAATAGGAAAAACTCAGAATAAGTGGTAAGATGGGGACAATTTTGATAAGAATGGGGGGAAACTCTGGCATTTCTTGCTTTATTTTTGACATAAAAAGTAATACAATCAGAATCTTTTAAAAATGAAGAATTTCTTTGCAATAATGCTCTAGCTTCCTACCCCCTTTTTAAGTAAATATGTCCCTATGCTTTACATAGGATAAAGTAATTATTTGTCTTCTTTTTTTAGTAGCGGATTGATCTAATAGGGTGCATATCAGTTATATAAGATTATAACAGAAATCCCCCTCGAGTGTGCTTAACAGTTGGCAATCTGCCAACCTATATTTAACTGTCGTATCATATGGTCTGAGTCTCTCAGATTTTCTCCTAAAAACATAATGTAATTTGAATTAGGACATTTTTCAGCTGGATTTGCTCTGGTTTTTATGTTTCAATTTCAAAATATCTTATAGCTTGTGAACCTAGTATTATAGAAATCATTCTCACAATGAGATACGAGTTAAAAGATTATGCTAGCATGTGTGTGTGAGCGTGTGTCTCATGTGCCACTTTGTGTCCTTACTCTGCTTCCTTAGGACTTAGCTGGAAGTGAGATTGTTTTCAAGATACTGTTTTGAGATTACATTTTAAATGTGCGCGAGTATATTTGAGCCCCGTGTACCCCAGTCATGTAAGAACAAAGGTGATATAGTTGTCAGCAAAAAACTCAAATATGCTGCCCCTTGACACCTCTCAGAAGTGCAGTGCTATGCAGAAACATGCAAAAGTGCTGTAACTGCATTTCTCATGAACAGTAGAAAGTAGGATATAACACTCGCTCTGTCCCCAAGGTCAGGGAGCAATCCAAATAGGAATCTTCTCCCAGAAAGTTCAGTCTCGCTCCATCTGGAGGGAGAAAGAAGTTTTCAAATTAGTTGAGTTTATCATTGCATGCAAAGTTTAAAAGTTTCTTATTGTTCCATCTTTATGAAAATGGCAACAGTCTATCAAAAAAGCAGTGAATGCAGATTCACGGGTGATAGGTGACATACGCCTTGTGTTCCGAAACACTATGCTACTCAAAGGTAAGCTTGTAAGTAAGAACTTGGGAGTATCTGTATTCCAGATTTGGAGTACTTTTCAGGAGTAGAGAGATTTTTCAAGCTGTGGTTATCTCCTCCAAGTCTGTCTTTACTCTCAGAACATGGTTTGTGACAGCTGTTTAGCCAGGGAAGGCGGAGTGATGTTCTCTTCTTTCTATTCCTGCAAACCCTCTCTGTCCAAAGCCGCTGAGAGGGGCAGGATTCCTATAAAGCTTTCCCTTCTCTCAGAACCTCCATCCCATGTTAGCATGTTCCCTCCGTACCACTTTAGTTCCTGCCAGCTCTGGGAAATGCAGGTCTGAAGCCTGAAAATTCAGATCATTGTTAAGTTCTGCCACCGTGCCAAGCCCTGCCCCAAAGATGGTGAAATTCCAAGGCATTAAAAATGAAGTCTTTGGAAAAGAGAGGGTAAAATACTGTTCACTCAGAAAAGCATTCAGTCAAATGGCACCACCAGAGTTTACCACCGACAGGGTCCTAGGAAAGGAGAAGACAGATTCGTGGAAAGAAGTATGACTGCACTGTTTTAGACTATGCAAAATGATCGCTTCATGACTAACTATCAAAATTAATCTGTAGACTGAAAAGGCCTCTATTTACTAAGAATGAAAAAAAAAATCAAGTCCCACCAGATTTCTTTTCCATACTTAGTGATGTAATATTTCAGCCAGGAAAAAAAAAAACGCAGAAGGTCCACTGAAAGTCATAAACGCCTCCTTTAATTGCATACTTTCTGATGGATTATTAGAATACTGCAATGATTATGGACTCTCCTAAGTACCAACTGCAGGTACTTCTTATGTCCTCTTCACGCTAGTTGGCTGATTGTTCATTCACATACGACGATGCTGTGTTCCAACATTTAATTGCAACAACTATAATATATGCAAAGCAGGATGGCATCTGAATGGCTTGGTGCATTGTGAATACTGCTAACTCCTCAAACAAATGTTGGTATGTGGGATTACTGAATATAAATTGAGAAAATGTATTTTTAAATTAATTTATTCTGTTCCTTAACTAGTCCTAAAGCCAAATTATTGGCTGAGGCTTTAAACCCCAGGGTGGGGGTTGGGGCGGAGATGATGAGAGAAAAACGTTCGAATGTGCAGAAAGATGTTGGGAGACCACCTTCTCTAGTCACGTGGGAGCTTCTCCGTACCTAATCTCTGTGTGGAAGCCTCCTGTGGATTTGTGGAGGACCTGACTGATAAGGACGATCTGGCAAAGAGATATCTATGCACCTTTGTCCCTTGACAAACAGTAGGGTCACAGCAGTGATATTTATGCACTGTTTCCAATCTATTCACCTGTCACTGATTTGAGCTCTGTTGGAAGACTCTTTTTGGCCCAATACAATCAGAAAGGCAGTTGTGGTATTATGGGACCATTGCAGGTTTGTACTGCTGTGGGAAATGAGGAGTACCATGGAGGTTATATGCATCAACATGAATTCCTTCAGACCTTCTGGACTTTCTTGTAAACTTTTGAACATATACGATCTTGGAGCGCCAGACAGCATATTTGTTTCAAATCCGCCTAAATTATTCTTACCAGAGTTCCACTAGTATAGATGTGTAATACCTTTAGGGAAACAATGTTAAAATGGTCCAAATCTGCATCTGCATATCTTCTCTTTGGCAGAAGTCAGGAATGTTGGTAGGTAGGGGAAGGGACCTGATCTTGATACAAAACTATATCTCCTTCATTTCTATCTTGCAAGCAGGTCTGGGTAAAAAGTATAACCTGCCGTTTAAATTTCTTTCTTCCTCAGCAGATCCCTGAGTTCTTCAGTTGACTGTCAGCTCTTCTTTTAAACAATTTTTTTTTAAAATGTCATTTAGTAGCAATTTTATGAGAACTCATATTGATTCCTCAAAATACAGAAGCATTTTCTGCCTAGTCCCTTATAGTAAGAGCTCATCATTGTTAACAAAACAGATTAATTATGTACAGTAACTGTAACAAGTATTTAGGGTAAAAGTGTGATTCACTAAAGATGGCATGGGGCCAGGTGAACACACTCAGATCTGTTGGTTATTTTGTAGAGAATTTGTGGATTTTCACTTTTCATGGTAAAGAGCAGTGGGCAGAGTGATTGCAGATTTAATATTAGCTAATGCAAGATCATGCACATCAAGAGGAATCTTTTGAATTATCCCTGTGCACCATGAAGTTTGAAGATAATTTTGTACATCTGCATTAAAACTTTTGCTTTTCTGACTACTATGGAACAAGTAAAATTTTAAGACCTAAGAAGAATAATATTAAAAACATGTTTGCCTTTGTGTTATCTTCTTTTCTGAAATATTATCATCTTATCTCAAAGAAAATTGCAGCAAAAGAGAAAATGCAGAAGGGTAAGAGGTAAAAATAATTAGAAGCGCGAGCAAATGTTGATATGAGGAGAGTTTGGGAACTTTGGGATTGCTTCCTTTACAAAAGTAAGGATAAGTATAATTTAATGAGCGGTTATTGAAAGGTATATTGTATTCACTTTTCTCAAAATAGAAAAATAAGTTAAAATTAAGTTGCCTGGAAAGGGAATTTAAAACTGATAAAAGGAAATACTGTTTGTTTACAATCCAAACATTAACTCTTAAATATAGTGTTGTCTTAATTCTTTTCTCAGTAGTATTCCAAAGTTTTTCTGCGTTATTTAACAATTACATTTTGAAGATAATTTAAGTTGGAAATTGCCAGGATTTCAAAAAGAAGCTTGTAATTGCTGAGGTGTTTGTATTTTCATGTAAAGTATCTAGCATTCATCGTTCTCAAATATAGGGCACTAGGAAGATAAACTCTTGCTCTGGCACTAATTCCTGTGTTCCTAACCATTGTACCCTCCAAGACCAGAGTCCAAAACTGACTCAGTCTTCAGTGCCTCCCAGAACTTGTTACAGGAATTCCTAGATGAGAAGTATAAATACACCATTTGAAATAGATGGTATGAAAATTATTATATTAAATAGGGGACGAAACATAATAGACTTTGTGTCCGGAATAACATTAAGTGTCTGATCAGATCTGTACACCCAGGTATTTTTATTTTTTTGTTAATTGTTAAAAACTGTATTTTATTTAGACAGTTGACAGGCCGAAGGATTGGTACAAGACAATGTTCAAGCAAATCCATATGGTTCATAAGCCTGGTAAGTATGCTTTTGTCTTGGCTGGGTGGTTCTCAGTGGTATTAAAAAATGCACTTTTCTGCATTTTGATTGTCTGCTATGTGAAAATACAAGTGTTTACCAAGTGTCAGATAATGAATCAAATCAGATGGGTAAATTTGAAGATAGATTTTACTGCAGAGAGAGCTATTTTCCTCTGCTAAAGTCTGAAAATTTCTGATGGGTTTATTTTATTACTAAAACTAAATAAAAATTAAAGTGATTAGGCTAGGTATGCTCCTAGTATGATTCCATGTCACCAGGGAGCTCAGTGAAGTGATCCTCATCTCCAGTTTGAGGGATGAGGAATTGGCCACTGCAAACCTCCTACCATACCAGCTATCTTTTGGAGAGCTCACGTGTTAGAACAGCATGGGCTAATAAACAGGCTGTTTTGAGGATACGTTTTCTGTCCGAATTGCATTTTTTTCATAGAATGTCTTATTTGGTTTTGCTGAAATGGAGCTTTGGTGACATTACTAGCTTTAGAGTTAAGGTCCTTTATCATGATTGTTACCAAGGATCTCAAGAAACTGTATAAATGGCAATTATGCTCATTACACCTCTGGAAGGAAGGAGACTTTATTCGTCTGAGGTAGAGCTTGCATTCGGTATGGTCACACAGAATGTTAGTAGGAGAATAAAAAATGTAAGCAGGAAAATTTTGGCTTGCAAGATCTTTTGAACACTAGTCACATAGTAGGTATTTTGAGGTTGCTTTTTGTGATAGGAACAACAACTTAATAGTCTCTAGCAGAGGAGAGCTGACAAAAGGAAGGAATTGAGCTTGGGGAAGGGAGAAGAACAAAAGACAAAAAGCTATAATTTGCAATTCAGTGCTAACCAGTAAGTACACAATATGGGTGACATGACCAGAAGATACCATTTTACAAATAAGATGGTAAAAATAGCCTATGATAAGTATAACGGGAAGAGAGAGTCTTCAGAAAACACCTATGAGATGAGGAAAAGAAATATAGCGCTTGATTACCTACCAATCTTCTGTTTGTATTTGCAAAAAGAAAGCTGCATTGCTGTGATGAACTGGCATGTACTGCACTACTGTAACATACATATTTCTTTTTGTAGATGACGACACAGACATGTATAATACTGCATATGCATACAGTACTGGTAGGAATTATTCCCTCACTTCAAAATGAGTCTTTTGTTAATGTCACCAAGTAACAGCGGTAGTTAACTCTTCATGCTTGCTTTATAATGCTTATATAAACACCTTTTATCGTCTTGTTTGATCTCAGTTGGTGTTTTTTCATGCCTTTTTTCCCAAATGAAACAAAGTTTAATTTTGGTTTCATTCTTGCTACAGAAATGAATTGCAGCTGTGGGCCTCTTACTGCAGATGGGATACACTGTAATACTGTAGTTTCTTGATTACATTGCATTTATTTTCACTAGTGACTGTGAGTAACGCGGCCTTTACTTCTCAAAATGAAACGGGAACTACTGTGTGAAAGTACAAATGCTAGTTACTGACATGAGAAGACAAAAAGGTTGTACTGAAAACAGCTTTTAAAATATGCAGTAAGAGTGCCTAATACAGATGATTCTGTTTTATGATCTTGTTCATTTTTGCTATAGGCACTGGTGTTGATGTTATTTAGCTGCAAGAAAGACATATTCATCTAGGATACATAATTGTTGTGTCTTTCAGAAGATTATAACCATGTGGTAAAATTATTTATAAAAACAAAAATGAAAGTGTGAATAGACTATATGTGCAAAAAAACCATAGCGCCTTGTGCAAAAATGCCATTCAAAATTCTTCCATTTCAGTGTTTGTTGCATTTGATGTGCTCTCATACTGCCTTTTTCTGTCCTGTTGAGAGCATTTTTTGGGGGTCAGTTGTTTGAGATCTGTTTGGACTCTTGTGATCCTCTTCAAGATACGCTATTGCCTAGTTGTCCCAGACTAACAGTAATTATTAAAACAACGAAAGAAATGTGCACTTCCTGCCTCTTCTCTTCCTTCTGAACAATGAACAATTGAGAAGCAGGATGAGCCTGGGGATTAATTACAGGTTGTCATTAACAGCTCTGATGGATATATACAGCCATTAACTTCTCCTCTCCTCAAATTAATCATTAATTTATTTTAACTATACTGCACTTCATCTGTGTGTTTGTAGTTTTATATAGAAATGTATAAAAAATATTCTAATGAGCTACATAGTATACTTTTAAAAATGCATTTACACATTTTTGTAACCTTGCAGCTTTATTGAGTAACTGTGAGTTCTTGTAGCATTCCGTGTTGTGTTTTATTAAAACTCATTCTCATGCTGTGACTATTTCTTGTTTTGTTTTATATTAGGTAGCTACAGTCCATCCTTCTCTGCTCAGGCACACCCAGCTGCAAAGACGCAGACATACAGACCATTGTCTAAAAGCGCTTCTGACAGTAGCTCTGATGCCTTTAAGGTCTCATCCCCTTTAGCACCTCCACATGTGCCACCTCCAGTACCACCACATCGTCTGAGGGAAAGGTCTACACCAGAAAAGTAAGTTAGCATATTTTCAAAAGGTGTTCTTGGTACGTACAGTAATCCAATTACAGGATATCACAAAGGATAAAATAGCAGCTATAGAATAACATGACTTCAAGGGCTTTATTCAAGGGACCGTCAGGTGATGAGGGGTAATCTTCATCAGTAGTGGGGGCATCATGTGTGGTGCTGCCATTGCTTCAACGTGCTAAGGAAGTGCTTATTCTTACCACCATGAGCATTTAAGATTTTCATTCTCATTAGCAGGATTGTCCTGCTTGTTGTGTTTCAGAACAATCCATGCTCTAGCAGCTGTCTTGAATAGTTAGTATCGGAGTAGGAAAGGCTATTTATGGTATCCAGTAGCAAAGAGAAAGGATCTAAAAGATGTTGTAAATTGAAATTCAAGGAAGAGCAAAACTGTAAGAGTGTAGCAGTCAACCAACGTTTCCCCAGAGCTCAGAAGTGCTTTATATCCCCATTTTTTCAATCTCTATCTCCATTTTGGTAGACCAAGGTGGTGTTTAAAGGGGCATTTCAGGTTTCTCGTGGTTTTCCAGCTTCAAACTTGCTGCACAAAACCAGGTCCCAGTGGTTAGAGTCCAGTCTGGAAAAGGTTAATACTTAATAACTCAGGAAAGAAATGCTTGTCCTTCTGGTAAAACCGTGCAAAGTGTACACAAACTCTCGACTCTTCAGCGTATCTGTAGCTACTAGCTCAAGCAAAAAGCTTTTTCTTTAGTGTTTACATTCATGAATACTACCTGTTAGTATAATATTATGTTATACATTTTTATATGTGTGTGTGTATGTATGTATATATTTTATATATAAAAAGGGTCGGGTTTTGTTCCATTTGTGGCTACAAGCCCACCTCTCTTGGTTACACTCAAGCAACAAAACAGAATTTGCCCATTTTTGTCAGCTTGGACATTGTAAACATTTTTATATGTAGAAATTGAACTATATTAAGCGGTTTCAAATAATTTTACAGTTTGAATAAAATATTATGAGAAAAGACCATACTAAGTGTTTAAAGTTAAGGCTAGACTATGGCTTTTTGCAAAATTTGTAGGTAGTGGCAATCCAAAAGGTAATCCAGCAGATACATATATTGCAGAGGAAAATAAGATTGCTCGATGGTTACTGATTTTGGCTACTCCTGTTGCTGAGGGCAGGTTGTCAAGAGGAAATGCTAGGGGTTAGAGTTGGGCTACCTCCCAAAGGCCACAAGGTTTGAATTTTGTTAGCAAGTCATACAGAAATGTAGATTTTGTTAGCAAGGCACCAAAACGTGGATCTGCTTAGCTTTGATCTCTGAAGTTATGTGAGTCATCATATGGTGCTAGGCCAAATGCATTGGTCACAGAAACTAGGGCCTGTTGCAGTTCCTTTTGTCAGGCTTGAAAATAACTGCTTCAGCACTGAATGTGGATGTTTAGCCTCTCCTTTTAATCTCCTGCATGATAAGACAGGCAGTGGAAATCTATGTTCTCCAGGCCAGGGGATGCCAAACACGTTAGTTATGCTTTGCCTGCTGCTGACAGCTATAGCTCGTCAATCTTTTCCTGCCATTGGGAGATTCTTTTTTTAATTGCCTGTAAAGCCTGAGTATTTAAAATCTCACATAAGAGGCTTAGGTCCACATGTATCACAGTTTCATAGCTGTGAGGCAAGATACGCTTTGCATGAGCAGTTGGGCTCAAAAATATAGTCCGTAAGGGATTACAGGGTAAACGCTGTAAATTAAGTGAACTGAGTGTGAATCAGAATTTCAGTAGCATCCTTTTTTCTTCAGTGACTTGCAGTATAATGCAACTTGATCAGAACATTTCCATTTTCCTTTTCATTCCTAAAAAATACGACCTTTTTGGCTCTGAAACTTCATTTTTTCCTCAGTGAAAATGAAGAAGAGAGCCACGTAGAAATAAGTCCCTTGAAATGTAGGGCGTTTTATAAATAGAGGTGGCTGTGTCACAGAAATTGCACTCGCAAACATATGGTAAACAAAAGCTACCCCATAGATTTTTTTAAGGCACATGACATGTGCCTTATTATGTCAGGTCACATCAAACCAAGTCACATCAGAAAGGCTGATAGAACTGATAGAATTTAATCAGTGTATGCTCTTTCTTATTGTAAATACAGACAATAGCTGATAGGATTTCCCCTTTCCCCCCATTCTTTGAGTTACTAGTGGGTCATTTTACACAAAGATAAATTAAAAGATGTGTGAGCTACAGTTTTCCAAATGCAACGTAGGTAGTGACTACAAAAACTGCCATGAAAAGGTGGCTCTCACTATGATAGTAACTAGCTAACTATCCCCCAAAAAGGTAGCTATTAATATAACATGGTAAATGACTGAAAAAATATAGTAGTTACTTCTTATTCTTTGCATAGCACTGTTAAATTGAAAGCAAATTTATAGTTACAGAGAAAATGGATAAATTTCTGTCCCAAAGTCAACTACCAAATTCTTGTTCTTGTTTATCTATTCAAATTTGCAGGGAAACAGTATACTGCTTACAAGGATGTTCAGGAGCAGTTCTACTACAGATAAAGAGCATTTATTAGGTTTTCACACTGCCTTTTAAAATAATTCCTCGGTTTTTGTCTCAGAAAATTTTGTAACTTTTTCAATATGGACTTACTATCATACTGTGTGATGACAAAAATAACTACCACTTGCCTATATTAGTATAGTGCATAAAATAAATACAGTAAATTTGCAATTTGAGAAGGCATGTCATGGTATTTTGATACAGTATGTCAGGGAAGTTTTTAAACTGGTCTACCAGTTATATCAAAAGTATGAGTGATCACATAGGTGGACACCTCTAGTATTTTTCCTGCTGTACTGAGTACACCTGCTGTAAACAGGTTAAGATGATACGGTGGTTAAAGCATTGGGATGCTAGGCCAGACATTTCACAACTGAAACCTGGAAAGAGAAACCATGCTGAAATTCATTTGGTTTTGCCTGTTTCTCTTGCACAGAGCTGAAAGCAGATGGCGATGACAGTAAATTAACTCAATTGCTCATATTTGTTATTTAGAAATGACTGGGATCCCCCTGACAGAAAGGTAGATACCCGCAAGTTCCGTTCTGAACCAAGAAGTATTTTTGAGTATGAGCCGGGAAAGTCATCAATCCTTGAACATGAAAGACCGGTAAGACACACAAGTGAAATGGGTAATACAGTAAAGAGGTTTGGTGAGAGGCCATCTTTTTATTATTTACTACTGATTGTAACTACTTAGATGAATATTGAAGGTCCTTTTTCAAATATGATTTTGCAGTAATTTGTCTTTGCTCTTTCCTGATGGTTGTGTTGAAAATGTGAGTTTGGCTTATTTGCTAAACTTAGATCTTCTGGTATTTCCAAGAAATCAAACCACTGTGCAAACCTAATGGATAATGAGCAGAACTGTGAATTAATGGAAACTGCTTTTTCTAATTGGCAGGCATCTCCAGGACTCATTTTCAGTATATTAACAGCACATACGATATCTGATTAATTAATGCCTAAAAATAAACTATTTGCATTTTCAGGATGTGCCTCATTGTACACTTATGGAGATTTTGGTCAAATACTGGTCAAGGTTGCCCAGAGAGGCTGTGGAATCTCCATTTCTGGAGATGTTCAAGACTCACCCAGACACAGCCCTGAGCAACCTGAGCTGATTAGACCTGCTTTTAGCAGGAGGTTGGACTAGATGACCCCTGGAGGTCCTTTCCAGCTTCAATTACTCTGTGATTACTGAGTGTACATTAACGTGTAATTAGAAGTCTTTATTCCTCCTTTCTGAATAACGATTGCAATTGTGGAATTTTTCACAAGCATGTCTGATAAAGCTACACTTAATGCATGCAAAATGACCATAAACAGAAGTTTTCATTTGGTGTAAGACCCATTCACCTAGACTTTCTAATTTACCTTTGTGCTATCGCAATACTTTTTTATTTTAGGAAAACTGTTATATATCAGTAGCAATATTTTCTTTTCTTGGGCTTTTACTTTGAGGTTGGAATGGTTGAGGGAGTCCAGTTTTAAAGAAGGGGTTTATGTAATCAATACTGGACTATTATTTGCTTCTGTATTACATGCTTGTTCACAGAATTTATTTTACTAATTTAAAATAAATTAAGCAAATAATTGAATTCCAGAATATGTAGTATGTGTGAAGCCTGTACTAAGCACCTTTCCCTTGTGTTTATGTGGTCTTTGCAGGTATATAATTTTCCTTAGCTAGAAAATACTAAGCTGTGTTTCTATGAAATTAAGTTCTTGCAGAACTGGTGCATTTTTCAAAGAGGAAATTGGCATTTCTATATGAACTGCTAATTAATCAATATAATTAGATGGGACTTAGTATTTATTGTGAAGCTACATTTAACAAATAATTCTATTTAAAAAGTGATGGTATTTGTTCTGAGCACTTTTTTGATTGCTATGGCTGCATTATACACACTGAGGTCATTTACCAGCCTTCTTAATGCCAAAAAATAACAGCAGATCAAGTTAAAAATAAGAAAATTACAGTGATGTTTCAAGAATTATTTTTCTAATAAATTACATTTTCTACTAATGTGAAAAAAATAATTCATATAGGAATTGCAGTGCTGATGAATATCATCATAGATGCAATTTTTCAATTTTAGCAAACTAATGAAATGACAAAAAAGTGAGCTTTGCTGACTGTTCCTGAAGCCTTTTTTAACTTGCTTATGCATTGTATTTTTGATGTTCTCAATCAAGAGGTTAGATTTTGAGCTTTGTTTGGTCCTTAAAATATTTTCATGCAGAAAAGCCTTAGTCACATTGTACTTACTGAGCAGCATCAGTCAAGGGCAAGATCCCACTTTATCACTAGAAGTTTAGACTTAGCTGATGTAAATAAAAGGAAACATCTCTTTGTAGAATAAATTTTAAAAGCTGAACAGAATGGAGAGATTTTTTGTTTATGTATGATTCAGAGCTGTAAAAGATTGGAAAACAGGAATTAATGTAGAATACAAGAGATGAAAGTTGTGCTGACACTAGTGTAATATTATTAACGAAAATAAAAATAGTTGAAGTGAACTATCACAGTTTTATCAGTCTGGAATTTCTGCTGTTGATAAAGATGATGTTTAGCTTTATGTATTTTAGACACTTCTTTTGGACCATGTTACAAAAAGAAAAAGATTTGGTTTCACTAAAGCATTTGCTTTCCTTGTTTTCATTGAATGGGATATGGAAAGCAAAACTCCCAAAGCAAAACTCATGACTTGTTAAAGGGTGATCAGCAGAGTAGGTCAAAAGATTTTTTTGTGTGTCTAGGAAAAGCTGACATCTGAAAACAAAGCGTTAGTTCCAAATTCAGATGAAAACTCCAAATTCTCAACTGAGTCAGTATTGCATGAGTTAAGTCTTTCATCTTAATAATCTTAAAAGATTGGATTTTTAATGTCTGAAAAATTGTTCTGATGACACTGAAAATATTAATCAAAATATGGAATATAAAAATAAATATAGTTCATTAATATTGTAAAAGATGGACATTTATAGCATCTGAACTAGAAATTCTTACGTTATTAATTTTGCCAAAACCAAAAAAGTCAAAGGGAGTTTCTCCAACACTCCAAATCTTAACATTTTTTGGTGGAATTAAATCATTTCCATGGATCTACAAGATTGCAGTTTTGATGGCAAAATGATCTGCAAAAAAAAACCAGAAAAAGTATTTACAGCTACCTTATATGATAATAAACAGGGCAGATGAGGTTTGAAAGATCAGCATTCTCTTTATTGACGTAGGTACTACATTGGAACCAGTTGCGATTAATGTGGAAATTAGAAACATGGGAAGAATATAATAAAATGAGATTCAATGTAAAACTAACATTTAGTGGGAAATATTATTCAGTAGAACCTCATTCAGTAGGTCAAAAGAATGTGAGAAATAATAAACCTAAAAAAAATTACCTAAATAATAAACATTAAATGGTTAGATTGGTTAGGGATAGATGATTATCTTTGTTATGGACATAAAAAGATGAGTATAATTTCAAGCTGCAGTATCATGTAGCATCCTTCTGTCATGAAACAGGAAATTAATGTTTTTCTTCTGTAATTTGAACTTATAAGAGTATAAAACGTCAACAAAAAGGAGGGGCTTGAGATTGGTCCTTTGAGATTACAACTAAAAATAAGTGACATTAAGCTGTTGAATAGTCTTCCAAGCAATGATGTGGCAGCTCCTTTTTTCCTCTTTCAATAAGCCCATAAAACATTACCATTTCTTCTAATAACATAGCCCTGGTAAGGTGGTACATAAATTATTCTGATGTATGTTTCCATCTCCAATGTCTGCAATTCAATAAAACTTCTTTTTCTCTAGTATCATCTAAACCACGGATTTGTTTCCTAAAATGGGTGGTTACTTTCAGTAAATAAGTAAATTGCAGTGTAATAATGTAATCTTACTCATATGAATATGAAGTTAAATTTTTATTCTTTACTAGTTTCAACCTTGTATATGTGAAGTAATTTCTTCATACATGTGCATTTCTCTATTTCTGCAGTAAAGCAAGTAAGGAAAAATCTTGGTGTTACTGTAAAGAAAGACTTCGTAAAATTGGGACAAGCAATAGATACCTTTATTTTCATTAGGTGTTTTAGTCTAAGCATGAAAATACAAATGCGCTAGTCAGATAAAACTGTCAGGTTAAATTTTAGTTCTAGATTTTTTTATATGTGTTCAGTATACAAATTTTCTACTGAGTTTATATACAAGAGGATTGCATGATCAGAATACATTAAAAAACATTACTGTTTTGTCAAATACCAGAAATAGACTGGGCTTCCACCATGACGTACATCTGTTGGGTTTTGGGGTTTTTTTACTGTAGTGGAAAATTTGAAATTTTCTTTAGAATATGCAAGTTTGGTTGCCTTTGACATCTCAAGCTGGTTATCAGAATATTCTACTCAGTGTTAGTTGAGTTACTTGAGTAACACTTAGTCAACTAAAAAAATTTTCTCAGTGTGTTTTAAAAAGAAATCAGAAAATCTACATATAGGTATGTGTTGATACGACATTAAAAAAAAATGTCGTCCAATAAAGATATGGAGAGACTAAGTCTCTCCAAGTAGTGGACTTGGAGCTACAACAGCTATTTAAAAGTAGTCCAAAAAAAGAAAAAAGGAAAAGCAAAAGCAAATTCTTTAGAGCTAACAAAATGCCAAAGCCAAATTTATTACAGACATCTCAGTCCGTTATTCCAAAGAGGCTTCAGTATGGTGTCTGAGCTTGCAAATGCAAATTATTAATTTGACCATGCAGGTCATATAAGAATCATTTAACTCACTGGTTTAAGTGCACACTTTTGATTATTACCTGTGAATGTCTACCTGTGTATATCAAATCAAGCACAGGCAAAGCTGCATGCAACACTATAGATGGTTTTTTAAATGATGTCAGTGTTGTTCTATATTTGTGTATGTTGATGCAGTGCTGTGTTGACCATCTGATGCAAATGGCAAAAAGAGTGAAGTTACTTACTAGTCTTTAGTAGTATATCTTCAACAAGTGATGAAAATGTTACTAAATGACTAGATGAAGATAGAGTATAGGAACGTGACTTGGTTTGACTGACAAATCATAAAAAGGGAATTTACTTTATTGCTTTTACCTTCTATTCAAGCAGTTTGGGAGATACTTTGTGAGACCAAGCCAAGTTCTGTTTTTTAAGTCAAAATGATTTGTTCGTTTTAAGTCTCTTAAAAGGGAAGATAATAGAAAAAGGTCCATCAGCAAAATTGAATCTGAAAGCCAAGCAAAATCGATTGCCTGTGTATTGATTTTGGTAGCACAGGGTATGCGGTCCTCCCTAGAACTGCCAGGCAGCAATGAACTTGCAGACTTTAGTGCTCAGTTTCTTTTGGTTTGCTGCCCTCTGTGGTTCAAGCTGTGAATAGAAGTAGGACTTGCGTGCATGGAGCTAGCTTTACACACCTCCTTATGCTCTCATTTTATTTGCACACTGCTGCATGAGGAGAACTCAAAAACTTAGAAAATACATAAAATAAACTATTTCTAGCTTTTTCCTTATAAGCAGAAATGTGGGGGTTTTAAGCTTTCAACTAATTGCAAGAGTATTTGAAGATAAAAGGGGAGCCAGCTCC